ACACTAACTGGTACATCAACACACACACTGATCAGATAGAAACATAATTATGTACTGGATTATTTAAAGCTTAAGATCTGCTGATGTTTTCGTGTCATGTGTCTCTACAGAGCTGAAGGTGATGCAGCAGTATGCAGGTACAGTGTGCTGTCTGCACTACACTAGTTTACATTCATACACTCACAGCTTCATTACTGCACTACAATCTGATTAACAACTGGATTCATTCAAAACATCAGCATCACAAAATATCTGTGTATTGTGAAGTTGAGAATTATATTCTGTGTTTTCTCAGTGAATGTGACTCTGGATCCTGATACAGCTCATCCATATCTCATTCTGTCTGATCATGGAAAACAAGTGAGACATGGAGACATTAGACAGAAACTCCCAGACAAACCAGAGAGATTTGATACATGTACCTGTGTCTTGGGAAAGGAGGGATTCTCCTCAGGGAGATTTTATTTTGAGGTGCAGGTGAAGGGAAAGACTGATTGGGCTTTAGGAGTGGCCAGAGAATCCATTAACAGAAAGGGAGCGATCACACTGAGACCCAGTGATGGATACTGGACTGTGTGGCTGAGGAATGGAGATGAATATGTAGCCTGTGAGGATCCTCCTGTCTCTCTGTCTCTGAGAGTGAAGCCGCAGCGGGTCGGTGTGTTTGTGGATTATGAGGAGGGTCTGGTCTGCTTTTATGATGTGGAGTCCAGCTCTCATATCTACTCTTTCACTGCTCAGTCTTTCACTGAAAAACTCTATCCATATTTTAGCCCATTCTTAAACTATAGAGGTAAAAACTCAAACCCACTGATCATCACACCTGTTAATGATAATAAATGAATTTGCACTACTAATATGAAATACAAGATTAAAATAATGATTTTTTTATAATTAAAAATCTGAAAGCATAATGTGCTGCTATTTTTTTAACATTTGTTTTTTGTCCAATTTTGAAAATCTATATGCTATATTTACACATTGTAATGTAAATATATGTTTGTCCAATACATTTTTATTCAACACACACACACACACACACACACATATATATATATTTTTATTTTTATTTTTTTACATTTGTATCATTAGATACATTCAATTATTTGAGTAACTATAACCCTATATTTAAATGTGTAATACAGCAATTTCTCTAAAAAAATTTTAAAAAATCCTGTCGACACTGGCGTGCAATGAATTCTGGTTTGGGTGAAGCCACAAAGTGTGCATCTGTTGTACTCTTCATTCTGTGAAACAAAGGCGCATTTGAAGGAGGCTTCGAATTGGGACAGCCTTCATCTCTCCACCGTGACACAATCTTTAAATACACCCTTCAGAAGATGCAGCCTTTGCTCTCCATCATTCGTTTCAAATTAATATTTCTTACTATTATTATTTTATTAAAATGTTGTCTAATTGTGTCTTATTTACTATTAAACATTTTCAAACTAGATTTGCTTGAACTTGCTTACACCACTTCTTAAACCCTTATCACGGACAACAAATAATTTGTAGTACATTAAAATAAAGACAAATTTAATTATTCTACTTACATTTGTATGTGAAGTCGAAATCAACCCCAACTTTGCTTCAAAATGCATCGCAAGAACTCGTAACCCAAACTCACATGATCACTAACAGAAATCAGTTTCTTGAAGTGACCATCGCAGGAGTAGACAAGTTCAGTCCTAGAGAGCCGCTGTCCTGCAGAGTTCAGCTCCAACCCTGATCAAACACACCTGAACCAGCTAATCAATGTCTTCAGGATTTTTTGAATGGATGTCAATGGAGGAGAGGCTTCACTACGCTTAAAAAAAACAGCTTTTTAGAGGAAATCGACAGCCTATCTGCTAATCTTCAACATGGTTTACACTAAACAATACTTTTGGATTTAACTATTTTTAGAGTTTACATCGAATGTTTTATAAGAGAAGTCACTGACTTTTTGCGACAGGTGGGATTCAGCTTACGGCATTCTCATTCATTCCTGGATCCGTAAACAGCGACTGAGTGTCGTACAACTCTGACTGAACTTCAATGACTTCAAGGCTGTAACGTGATTGGTTATTAAAGCACAGGTGATCCAAGTTGACCGTTACGCTTTCTCCAATAGTAAGTAATACAGACCCTCTCATCTCCCGATAGTAAGACAATCTCTGCTAAAGCTTTAAGCAGGTGAGGGTTTTGTCAGGGTTGGAGCTGAACTCTGCAAGACTGTGGCTCTCTACGACTGAACTGAACCCCTGGACCATCGCATGCTCCCTTCACTAACGGATTTCTGGAAGGGCCCTTCATGAAGAGATTCAGCTGTTCAGTTTCATTGGGAACGTCCCTACAAATGGCGTCCCCTTCCCGAAGTGCCCTTCAAGGGTAAAAAAAAGCCATTTGTAATTCACCCAGTATTAGGGTGACCATACGTGCCATTTTCCCAGGACGCGTCCTGTCCAGGATTTCTATATTGCCTAAAATATCTAGGTTTTGGCTTTGTTTGCGTGTGCAGACCGATCGGTGTATGACATCAAAGTACCATACAGACGGTTATGCTTTCGAAACGCTCTCGAGGTACTTTGATGTCAAACACTGATCGGTCTGAGCCGCACTGCTTTTAAGTCGAAAACACCTAATATGTACGCGTAATTGCATCACTTTGACCGTAGATCCCACCTTCTCACACGCCATGATTGGTCCATTATGTACAATGCTTGCATGTTATTGGTCAAACTACTTTTCGATCATTACCTTCAGCAAGCATGAAAACAGGAAAACCAAGCCAAAACAAATCCTGGACAGGACGCGTCCTGGGAAAATGGCACGTATGGTCACCCTACCCAGTATAGGAAAGTCGGTTCTGGTTTGAAAAAAAATGGCGCTTCGCATAACGCCTGTGTTTGACTTTACCCTG